GATTAGTGCTCATATGTATTATCTTAACGCTATATTGATTATTACTCATAACTTACTTGCTCAATCAATAATAAATACTGGTCATCTACATTAACTAATTAGCTTTGATGGTTTGTTGACAAGCTTTAATAGCATTAACATGCTTCAGTGAAACAGACTAGTTTTAACATCAAGCTCTAGCAAATATGACCTGCAAATAACCTAAATATACATTAACTAACAATGCAATCAAGGACTAAATAGTTATCTGGATCTGATTCTTAGTGTTCATTCACTTAACACATTCTGTTTTTAAACTATACACTATCCTGCAATATCTTTTCTTCCGACCACTGCCTGCCTAATTTCCAATTCTCGAGTTCCATTGCCAAACAACAAAGATGACACTACTACAAAGGCATACGATGACTCGTTCAATAGAAACCACACAATTATCTGGATTGATTCGATTGTTCTGATCCGAGCGAGTGACAAAAACGTCAGTGTCACCAAGGTCTCTGGAATTAATTACCATACTTCATGTTTTATTCTGGATGCTTTTGGATCATTACTACTCCTCCCATATGTCGTCTACTGAATAATCTAATTTTCAAAAATAATCCAGGCAAGTTTAACTATTTTACTGGATGTTTTTTTGTACTTAACATGTATATATTTTCCAGTTTCTTTTACCACATATTTGTAAGTATCACTAGGTTAACTACAGCAACGTCTTATCTAAGGTTTATAACTCATCATATTTGTAACTGAAATTCCAGAAATCATCTCAACTTAGAAAAATATTTTTCATTTTAGCCATGTTTATTATTTTTAATTTGCCGTACATCTCAACAACCTGCATGTTAATCTGGCCCGTACATGCGTTGCATTATATCTCTATGCCTTTTAAACTTAAAAATCATCTGAATCACCTTTAAAATTTTCAATAAACCCATCATAGTCATTACTGCTGTACGTATTTGGGTTTATGAAGTGGACTAGTGTAATAATAGCCTAAAAAGACGAACATATAAGGAATAATCAAGTCACAAAATTTAGGTATTATCATACTGCAATAAACCCTCATGTAGTAGTTCGACAAACAAATATTTAAAATTAAATCTCCGGAGTCTATTATTAAAATTAACATTATGTACTCGAATATATTTTAATTACCATAAGTAACATAAACAGGCAGCTCGGGCTCGTTAACACTACGAATTTCTGGTATTTTCAAATCACTCAAAGTAACAGCATCTATTTTTCCACTGGCTAATCCTCAATCAACACTATAAGAAGTTAAACATGATGGTTTCAGCATATCGTCATAAAGCATTGTCATGACTTGACGATCAAGTAATATGACTGATAAAATTAGAAACTATTAACAAAATCGGTCAACAAACTGACTTGTAATTTCCATTAGATAGTGTTGTTTTCTCGGTATCTTCATCCATTACAGATGATTTCAGTATGTTTCTCTATCAGTTGCTCATTTGATATCTCAAAACCTTGTCAGTCTAATTGGAGGTTTAGTGACACAATAATGCATGCAAATAATCGGTATAGGTAGTCGAGCAAATCTCCTGCAAACTAAAAACATCAGTGTCGAATTTACCCCAACATTGAATAAGGTTCAAGCCATTATCATAGACATGAGTTGGGAGTGTACTGCCCTTGGTTACAACTTATGTTCTTCGTGATAATCACATGAGCATCACTCGCTGTTGATCATTTTATAAAGACTTATTTGGCCAAAGTCATCTCACGGCACTACATCACCAACTTATAATCACTATATCTCAATCAAATCGTATTTCGCCTCATTCTAAACTGCATACTTGCAACTAACTTGTATGTACCATCAGCCGGTAGGTATAAATATAAATAAATAGTCAATGGCAAGTCAGAACATGGAGTCTAGAGCATGTCTCTTACGAATACACTCATGTTTAACAAATCGCTCTTATCTATCTGTCCGAAATCCACATGATTATCACTTTTCACATATTAAAAACTCTTTTTTTGATAACCATTCATATGTATTAGTAGTATCACTAAAGTCTATCACGGTCAAGTAAAAATGAGGTCGAGAAAATCTCCCCATGACTAAATAAACCGTATCAAACTAACTGGAACACTAGTTGGAATTCTTCTCCACGGTAACACTTTTGTTCTTTCAGTTAGCCTACTAATACAGATCCAATTGGAAATCAACTCATATGGACAGCTTACAGGCATAAACGTTATTTAGTTTCATAATTTAAACCAAAATTAATACCAATATTAACATTTTTACAGTATGGATTGCTTTTACTCTTTCTAGACACAAAATACTTATTACTTATAAGTTAAGTTATTAACCAACGGCTATTAACACGCATCTTACGTTTTATCATTATTATTATTACGGCGACTCATTAAAATATCCCCATACGGAGTCATTTTATTATTGTTATAGTCCCACTTTGTTTAGCTCGAATAATATTTACCTAAATTTTCATTTTAAACGTGTTAAACATGAAAGCAGATATTTTGAAATTATGACATGTATTTACCGACCACATGCTGCCTCCTTCTTTTTGATTTATCTTTCGGTTTATCAATACCCGGAGGATTCTTATTATTCTTGGTAACCTCCAGCGCGACAATTCCACTCAATTTGGTATCGAACCAACGTCACGTTGGTTCTGGCAGGAGAGTAGTGTAGTGGCATTCGGCCCTACCACCAGACAATATGGCAAATACACATTCTACATTGAACGCGGAGAAATACACAACAATGGAGAAAGTCTGGAACACAGATTAGGAATTAATCCGAGTTGATCGGATGGCATGGCTCGGCCACGCAGGCGTGGTCCCTGCTCAATCTCACCTTATATCATTTATTCATATGAAATATATTGTTCCATCTCTAGCCTGAAATTCTTCTCCATCATGTGTTGGTAATTGTTACGATGCAGTGAGTTGGTGTAGAAGATGATGTGATTTGCACGTGAGATCTTATAGATTAGGCAGTTACATGATAACAAATGTGGAATTTAAGCATTAGGTCTATTATTAGAGCAGCACTAATATCATAGTAGACCACAATTCTTCAAGCCTATCGGATTCGAGGCAAATTTATCAATAAGCTTTACCTGGTACTAATGCTTGGTTTCTCTTAATGCTTTTGAACACACGTTCCTTATTCGTTTGTATTGCTTGTACGCGCCGTTGTTATCAGATCGTTTGTATTCCGCCAAACAGTGTCTTTTGCGGCTCAGCAAACGAAGAGTGCAGCTCTTGATGAATGGAGGTTGCCTGTAGATTTTGCAAACCACTTGCGAACAAACTGCCTTGTAGCACATAAGATCGTGTGCAGTAGGAAATCCACATGAATTTGAGGGTGGAATTCTAGTCCACATGTTGTAGATTGTCCTGTATTGCCAACACATCCAACCGTTTGAAATTTCAGTGCCTGTTGTCGGTGGGATTTCCTAGCTCAGTTTTATTGATAAAACTGAAGGCTATGACGTCGTGATAGCTTTTCCCCAGGGGAGCCAGGATTAAGAGGCTATCAATAGGAAGTTCTTCGTCTGACTGTTTCTTCAAGGAGTTGCCACCTCCACATTTTCTAATAGTCCCAGATCTTCAATGAAGTTGATGCACCGAGCATCAGTAGAGTTTTCACCTCTAATGTGCGTGTGCTTTGCGAAATTGACTTTAGGAAGATTAAATTCCCCTAGAATCAGGAAATGAGTGAATCCAAAACGAGTAGAGCGGGATAAATCTGGCATCATGCGGTCTTTTCGGATGCATATGCATTCCAGTTTGCAACCGGAGTCTAAATGGTTCAAATGGTTCGAATAGTTGTGGACGAAATAGAAAATGCTTTCGCTTAATGAGCTTCCGTGTCTAGTAGCAGTGGATCACCAATACATCCAGGCAAGAACCTAGGTATATTAACGATAATAGAGGAAAAAAAGAAACTGGCAAATCATAATAAGATGTTATCCTTAGTCCTTAAGAATACGTCAAGTTTTCTCTTAAAGGACTCCTGGAAAGTCGCTTGGACTAGCTCAGCCAGAAGCGAATTCCAGCACTTGACAACTCTTAAGGAGTAGATGTCGTGTCCACAGTCCGTTCTGCTATGTTGTATCTCCAATTTCTGGGTGTTACCTTTAGGTTTGTATTAGGATTAAGCTTAAGTAGGTGTTTAAGAGGATGTCTAGAAGTGTTAAGGATACTGTAAGCCATCAGAAGGTCACCTCTAAGACGTCTATACTCCAGTGGGTAAACGTTAAGTGATTGAAGGCGCTCTTCGTAAGACTTGAATTTGAGTTCCCGAACTGATTTCGTGGCTCGTCGTTGGATACGCTCCAGAGTGTCCTCATCCTTTTTGGAGTGTAGGAGGGAATACTATGTTTCCGTACTCTAAATGGAGACGAATAAAACTGTTGAAGATTGTGTGGAAGGTTTTTCCGTCAAACTGGCCAAAAATGCGCTTCAATGTTACCAGTGCAAGGTTTGCTCCAAAGGCATTTCTGTCACAGTTAGCGTAAGACTTTAACTCGTAGGGTACCAGCACTCTTGAATCATTTTCAACTGAGGATACTACTGGAAAGGAGTTTCTTAAGTTGTAAATATAGTCTGCCACATGTTTGAGATGGATTACTTTGCACTTTGAAGTGTTAAAGGTAAGTCCGTTGTACAACTTTGAAGTCGAGTCAGATCCTCCTGAAATGCCAGCTTATCCTCTTGGTTGTGTATCTCTCTCCAAAGTTTCACGTCATCAGCAAAATGTAATAAGTCAGACGATACCTGTTGTGGAAGATCGTTCACATAAATCAAGGAAGGAGAGGCTCTAGAACTTAACCGTGAGGGACCCTACTATGACATTCCATAGACTGCGATAAATGAAAACACCAATAAAATGCACTTAAATTTCCGGTCATATTCAAGCAATGTGCATTTTCTTAATCTCAGTTGTGTAAATAGATGAATCTAACTTCGAAACTTTCCACTTTGTGTTTTATTGAATAGCAGCAAATGTCTATCATTTCGAGCGGCACATAGTTATCGTCGTGGTTGATTGTTCGAAAGGCGTGCCCAATCGTTTGATTACCATCAGAGTGTGGGCTAACACACAATGGCAGACACTAGACCAGCTGAAAAAGATGAACAGCAGAAACAAAACACGCCACGCAAGGTGATGGAAGAGCGTGTCAAAGGCGTGGTTAAGTGGTTCAATGTGAAGGCAGGATATGGCTTCATCAATCGTCAGGACACATCCACGGACATATTTGTGCATCAATCGGCAATTTCACGTAACAATCCAGAAAAGCTTCAGCGTTCACTCCAAGAGGGGGAAGAAGTGGAGTTTTATGTTGTTGAGGGAGACAAGGGCGACGAAGCATCCGAAGTGACAGGCCCTGGGGGTGAACCTGTCAAGGTAAACGGAGTTGAGTGTTTATTCTCTTTCAGGGCAGTGTGTACGCAGCTTTGCGTGGACGTGGACGCAGCCCGCGAGTGTTTAACATGCGTGGGAGAGGTCGTGGAATGGGACCTGGTGGATTCTCCAGCAACCAAGATTTTGTGCCTTACTATGGTCCTCGGGGTCGGGGCCGTGGCCGTGGTGGTTCAGAAATGGTAAGTCGGCGATGCCTAGCAATAAGTTTACAATAAGTCCATGTGAGAGTCAGTCATCGATTTACAAACTCAACCACATGATGCTAAGTCCAAATCATCGGCCCACATTCCCACTTCAAGTCAACATTGTATCGACCAGTTATGGTAATATATTGCGGGACATACCTGCAATTCCGTTTAGTAAACGTCTTGATTTCTACCTCAGCGTGAATCTTCAGTCCAGGTTTCTGGCTCATGCACTTAGATCTCATATCCATTGTGCTAAAGTGCAGACCTGGCACTAGTCATTTAACGACACTTTGAACCCTCAATATAGTTTGCGAAAGTAAGATTTGGATTTCTGTACCTTGACAGGGAACTGCTTATCAATATGTCGATTCTCTATCTAATTATCGATTTAACCTTCTCGGTTTCAGTACGGAGGTGGTTACGAATTTATGGATCGTGGTGGGAGAGGCCGCGGGTTCCGTGGACGTGGAAGGCCTCGTGGTCGTGGGTTTAGAGGATCTGGTGGGTTCGAATCTCGGGGTCGCGGTGGTCCTCGTGGAGGAAGGGATAATTATCACAACGAGGATGGTAAGTTGTCAACCTGTTTCGGTTTGATTGTCTTATCGGTACCATGAATTGTATGCATTCCGCTTCTGGGACAACTCCAAACGTTCCACAGTTAAAATTCTATAGCAAGCTGGAAACTAGGTCACAAAATTACTATGTATATGGTTTCGGCCACTGTCCTCTTGCCACTAAGGCCTGCGTTAATCTGGTGCACGGCAATATTGTGGTTTCGTTTCAGTTATTGATAACAAGTATTTTCTAGGCAACGCTACTTATGATTTTGTGTTAATGCTTCATCCCTGGTCATGTTTCTTGCTCATTTTTAGGCTCACCGGATATGCGAGACGCTTAGAATTCTCTGATCAAATACTAAGAAATGTCATTTTAGAAATCTATGTATTCTGTCAGCATTCATATATGCATGTCTACGTTTCAACTCAATTGTTTAATCATCCAACTTGCAGCACATTGGATTATCACTTGTCTTTATGGTATTTCGGATGTACACCAACTTTTTCCCTTCCTCAGTTTCGACGTCTAACTGGTCAAACTTGAGTGTCTCCAATTTTTGAATCCAGAGTTCCCGTGGGTATATTCAACATGTTTCATTCGATCTTACAGCCTTAGCTTTCTGCGCTTTTCGATGCATTTCTTGCCTATCAGGGCTTTCCATCTGAACTTGATTACTTTTCTACTGTTTCATATCTACTTACTTCCGTCTGCCAATTGCTTGAAGGCTCAGACCATTTGAAAAAGTCAGAGATCTGACTCGTCAGCCATTGGTGATTATACTTTCCTGTAGAATGTGCACTCTTCTGTCATCTTGTGTGGATATCTGGTGCTGTATGGTTTGACTTTTCGTAATCAAATATGCATTTTGATACTTGATAAAATTTCTTTAGAGTAATAATTTGCATTCTATCTCGTAAAAGGCTTGGGTATGTGTCTTGTGAGCAACATTTCTCTTTGGATCCCTCGTGAACGCGAAATTTAGCTCATCACTAAGATTGAGTTGTAGTATCGAAGTATTCCCCACCCCTATCTTCGATTGGATCAACCTCAATAATGGCGCATCCGCACTGGACATAGCTTTTGTGAGCGGGATCGATTGTATAATCAGGGGGGTTCCACTAGTTATTCTAAATGTCTCCTTGCGGCTTGATGTACTGAAAGTGTCTTCATGCGAGCTCTGTCACTTTGTGATGTGCGAGGAACCACAGGGTCGCGTAATGCCGAATGGTCGGCTCAGTGGTATTTATTGACTGCCGCGTATGGGGCTCGTCTAGTGTTATTTTTAGTGTAGTAGCAATATTTGCAGTCGATGGACTTCAAACTGATATGGACTAACTTTACGGTCACGCGTTTGTGAAGTCACAGTTCGAGAAGACCTAGGTGACAAGAAGCTGCTTGTACGTGTTGAACTGTAAGATATTCCAACCAGGTGTTTCTGCCTCATTTGCTCTCAGGGGGTGCGTTGTCTGATATACTGACAGGACGGTAATGTTCTGGCAGACACGATGCTGATGGAGTTTATCGTTCATGGTAGGTCCCACTGCGATCTGAACGACCGCAATTGTCTTTGCGCATTGCATGTAGTTTGTGACCTTATATACAAACCGGATGGATGGCCTTACTTGCTTGTCGGTCAAAACATTCCGCCAGCCTTTTGCTGGTAAATTTGTTTGTAGTGTATCTTCACAGGTTTTTCTAAACTAAACATCAGTCATTTTAATACGCCATGCAACAGGTTCATTGAGTGCGCTGTACAAAGTGTGTGATAGTACTACTTGCAATTCCCTTAGGTGAAAACTATGATTTTTCCTGGACGTAGTACCCAGTGCACTGCGCCCAGCGGGCTTCTGGTGTTACGGTACGTAACCAGAAGCAGAAGGTGCCTCTGGGTAGATGTGTTGTACGGACAACGTTCGGTCCTAGTGGGTTGGCTATTTCTAAGTAGCAACACAAAGTGCACATGCTCTAATTAGGTTGCATCGTGCCTATTTTATGTATACATCAAATCATATTGATATAACATACATAAGTAGTGTGTCTGATGTGATTAGGTGTTTCGAGTGAAGCGTTAGTATATCAGCACCTAATTCCACGATGATGATTCGGCATCGGTCCGGACTGGTGAGTTCGGATAGCCGGCCATATTTGAGCTTCAATATACCTGCTAGTAGGTGCTACTCCAACTAGTAAGCAGTAACAAGTTACGATAGTAATATACATTAAGCGGATATACAAGCGTTTCAGTATGATTGATAGCCCAAAAGAATCAGCAGAATGACACTGCTGGCCCTAATAGTCATACTTGACATCAACACGAGAACAAAATAGTTGAAAAAAGAGAATTCATATTAAATATATTATATTACAATTAATCTGTAGTAAAATATATAATAGTTTAAGGTTGTTGTTTTCAAGAGGTAAGTATCACCAATGTCTTTTTGGCGAAATGTCCGGAATTGAAATCATATCACAAGAACATCTCCCACACATTTTGAACAAGAAAACAGTTCCAGATTATGTTTTCGTTTTCCAGTAGACTGGAATAATTCAAGTGTTTTAAAAAATAAATCATCAGTTTCAGTTGTTTCCAGGGGAGGTATTGTAGACAGGGCAGTTGTTGGAGCATCAAATACGGTTGGTGTGGTGGGAAACATACGATCATATTTAAGAATATTCTTATTACTGACTCTTGTCAGAACCTATAAAAAGGAACATGAGAATACTATACATAATTATCAACCAAACTTTGTTTCAGTAAACTGGAAATCTAAGCGGTACAAAGCTGTAGATCTGGAGACCATAAGTATGACGCTTATTTTCAAGTGTTCTTCCCAACTATCAATCAGACCAAATGTTTGTTTGTCACTGCCATATGAAAGAGTTGTGCTGGGGTTTTCAATCAGCTTTGAATAAGAGATTGTTTGGGTTACTGCTTGTCGGCTAGTCCGTTAGTGTCGGTTGTAACGAACTAATTTACGGTAACCACCACCTGTTTGCTAGTGTACTGCAACTGAGAAATCTGAGGGCGATTTTTTTGCAAACGTAAGGAAGGCATCTAAATTAGCATACAAAAACGATGTAATTCAATACCATACTTGACTGACAAGGTAGCTCACAAATGATCAGTGTGATTATCTCTGAGTCAGTATTGGCCTGTCGAATGCAACTTCTGGTACTTTATCACATTTAAACGACCAGATTTTTGTTTCGTTACAGGTTTTATCTTGAATTTTTCAAAACATTGTCACTCATTTAAGGTTCGAGAATCATTAGGGTTGGAACTGACGACAAAGAAATTAGATCTATGTTGTCATTCTACTACTGATTAACATCTTAATAACTAGACTAAATAAACACAAAATACACGAAACTGGAGGGACTATACATGTAAGAAAAGGGAAATGACAATGTAACAGCAAAGAGACTTATCAGTTTTACTACACTAGTTAGGGCAGATAAAGCATATTTCACACAAGAAATACTGAAACAGTACATTGTTCAAGTAAGAAACCGACAAGACACAAGGGTTTATCATTAGTCTGCAATTGTTGAAATACGACATAATACTCTTTATCTAAATGGCTTCATCAAGAACTAAATACTTCCCCGTGCTTCTTAATTATCAACGTATTTCCTAGGTTACATCAACTAGAAGTTGTAGCAGGAATCTGATAATTAGTTGACAGTGATCTGGGTTGGACTATGCTGATTTATTATGGCTGTGGACAACCTTTCCCTGAACGCAGACAACTCTGATTTCAAATAAATGGGTTAAACGATACGAGCACATCCTATAATTGACAGTGGTGGTAATGTTTTTTTAACATCTGGAGTTTCATGGTGGACGAATAAATTAGGTCAGTGACACCGTAGCAATGTATTATTTCATTAAACCTAGCATCAATTGGATCGATACAACTTAAGTGCTTTTCTCCGTCGCCTTTTACAACACTGACATATAAAGTTGCACACGGGAATGCTGAACCAGGTTTGCACGCTTTACATCATAGAAAAGACAGATCAACTGGAACGGAATGAAAACAATATGAACCAAGAAAGAAAAGCAGACAGAATAAAATGTTCAAACATAGACTGAGTGTGGTTACGCCACTGCGGTCGACCGAGAGGCATATCACAAAGTTTCCAAATATCGATTTATGTTACTTTGAGGATCTCTTTATAGAAGGTTCGCACTTATCAACTAAACTAACAGTGACGTACGACATAGCTAGATAATGGTTCTGTAAGACGTCATACACAAGTACATGAATGTAGGTATCATTACCAAGATTTGATTTGATAATTTCGAATAAATTGAGCATTGGGTAGATTGTTATAAATAAATAATATAGTACTGTTTAAACTTGGATTAGTTTTAATTTGGTTATTTATTCTCTGAAGAAGTGACTTACACTAAGCCACGAAACGTCAGAAAATCTAATTTCTCTACTCATTGGGATATTACAAATATATTATTTATTTAAAAGTACATGAATGCTTACTGTTAATTAAATTTCCATGTTCATCTAATATGTACAAAATAAGACAGTGGATAAATAGTTACTTAGAGGTTAAAATAGTAGTCAACTAATGCATTTCCCCAATCTCCTTGTTTTGGAGAAATAGCACAAAATCCCCAAAGTTTTCTCAAAATGGGGAGATTGGGTTGCCATAGTTGTGAACCAATATAACATAAGATGAGAGCAAAATCAACGTGTGATTTAGGTGTACAAGGAGTTTCTAGAAGTTTTCGAAATTTCTTCATTTATAAGTACCAAATATTTTGCTAGCTGAATTTAATTCTTAAGGAAATGTAAGTGCTTTGATTAAAGTTGGAAAAAACTGCACAGGAATAAAGTACGAACACTTACATATTGTGCCAACTCTTCACCAACTGTATCTGAAGAGCATTGAATTGGTTGGATACTAGCATTCGGTGATATCGCCAAAGCCAAATCAAAACACTGTGATGTCAAGCTTAGTGTACTACATGTCTGATTAGTCGGTTTATTTAGCTTAATACCGTGTTCATTACAATAATCAGATAACAAAGGGATTGCTTGACTTAGATATCGACGTATTTGTGCACGTTCACCAAGGAGATGCGCCAGCGCGTGTCGAGCTAAATGTGCCTGATGCACTGACATGGCGGCATGTTTAGCTGCTTCACCCGCTACAGCACGACTAGCAATACATTTTGTCTGCCATACATCAGCTACTATTTCGGCTGTGTTGGCGGCTTCTTGTAGAACAGATTTCTGATGGGCTAAACCTTCACTTTGACCATAAAGGTATGCATTATTACTCATTAAATCGATTAGCTGTTGAGCCACATTTAAATTACCAGACATAGCAGATACCAATAAGTTTTTTAAGTCGGCATTAATCTGAAGAGAAATAAAAAATGGTAAACTATACAATAAGAAGTCTTCGTTACAAGTTTATGTACAAGAAAATTGTAACAACATGGTTTAGGATAAAGTATTTCCCAATAATAATGAGAACACCACTCAGCTCATAAACATGAGATAGTATCGTAGATTAGCTTGTGCGAAAAGTATACTGCCACAATCAACAATAAAACAGTACTCTTGATTAGATGGAGGAGCATATAACTTGTGGGGGATTGGTCTCACACTAGGTATCAAAACTAATGAGATATACTGGGATAGTTATTAGCAGATATCTACAGTTTCTTTTGGCAGAGACAGGGACTGAATCTAAGGAATGATACCCTAACTCCAAATCAGACTGGAATGTGATGAAAATCATCCTAACCTAAAAAAACCCAGCATCAATCCATGAGACTAGCTAATAACTACCTGGAAAATGATTGCTAAAATAAGTGATATTCTACTGCAATTAATGTTGGAAACGGGTAATGATGTTGAATTCTAGATTAAGACACTGTTTACAGATTTTGAATTTCAATCCAAGTAATGATTAATCAAGAAAACAGAACAGTCAAAAACTAAAATCAGGTAACTTATATATCTCCTGACTTTGAGACTACTATTTGAATAAAATCAATTTATATAAACAAAACAATTGGGAATACTTGTTACATTTTTTTCTACACGAAAAGATCAGGTTTTGTAAATAAAACACCATGAACATTGTTCAAATGCGTACTAAAACAAGTACAATTCGATCAATTAAGTTTACCTCGAAATTCAATATTATTCTAATTGTACACAGTAAATATTCTTATATCTACACATTTTCCCACTACAATTGATTGATTATTCGTGGAAACACTACATTAGGACACCTACTGAATAATCGATAGATACAAATCAAACTTTACAGTCGTTGGTCATAAAACTGAAGGTGCTCATTAAGTGTGCTAGATTAAGAATCACTGATTGTAATTAAATGTTGTTGTCTCCACTGACAATCCAATACACAATTGCTTGTTAGACCGTTGAAGAAACAAAATTACAAAAGAGTGGAACTGTAGCCTATAAAATTAAAGATAAATAAAATTGTCTCAAATGATTGTTTGAAAAATGATTATAAACTTCTATTATTTGAAGATTTTTCCGGTCGCAAATGAACGTCAACATCTTTGAAGTGATAAATTAAATGAATCTAGATTTTCAAAATTTTTTAAACTCATACAAATATATCTATGACTAAGTGTTAAACAATATGTAACGTTGATATACACATCTATTTCCTGATCAGAAAACTTTTAGCAACTAATCTATGTAACAATATAACTAATACAAATTCCCTGACATGAAATAGTTGAGCAATCAAATCAACAAATTCGTTGTATTAACTTTGTAGAGCTGATCACCAGGTTCACTTGGACAAAACAAAATACTTGAAAATTTGCATTGATAAATTTCTAAAGAGCTAATTAAAAACAAGGTAAACAGTGGAACCAAGCACTTTATAATTTACGACGATTGTAAACCAAAGAATTCCAAATCTAAACCATCAATAATATATAAGTATGTAGTTTACGACTGAATTAACCGATCGAATACTAAATTCAGCCATTCGAATGATTAAAATAGATATGTGTTTGCAAATTCTTTTGATTCTGAATTTAGTCAGACATCAAATTAGAGTACATGTGTGTAGATTCCTAGGTTTATATGAGACGATCACTGGTTAGTGAAGAATGTCATATTTATCTAATGCTTAGTAGAGACCTGCTACCTGTTTCTGTTCTCTAGATATTTAAACACGTTCTGTTTTTACTTGTTTTAACACATCATTACGTTTATTAATCGTACAACCTATTAAAGTGCATTTATGAAAAGTTTACAACCTTCCGCTACACAAGTTGCGGAAAAAGCCCAATCAGAGGCATCGTGGTTGCTGGCAATATGCAGTGAAAATAACATACATTATTCATATATCGATTCCTGGAATTCTAACTTCTAGCTGGAGACCACTCAATATTTGTCGTCAGGATCGATCAAGAAGTAAGAAACGGAAACTTTTTGAAATAATTTGTGCTAAGAATTCTATATTGCACCACAAATATAATACTGAATAAAATTAATAATAATAACATCCACTAAAGTCGCTAGTGGTGATGAAGTTCTACCGATTAGGTTGCAATGTGGTCGCTAGTCTGGACTACGTTTTGATATTGGGTGGTTGGAGGTAATCAATACAAAACTTTGGAGCTAGATTTGGTGATAGTTAAGACTTGTCAGGAAGATGTACATGCAATTTTGAGCGGACTAGTGCTCCCTGTAAGATTCTTGGACGGCATATTAACTCATACAACAATGCATTTGATCATTTAACTGACAAATCGAATCCACATCCGTCCGGAAAATATTTTGTATCCGAAGTGAAATATTGCGTTGTTAAATGGACCTAGTTACACAACAGGATTTCTGAGGAAGTATACCAAATTAATCGAGGACCAATTCACGTTGGAACTATATGTATTTACAAAATAAGAATTCTAGATTTCAAAGAAAATAAAGAAATGGGAATCGCTTACTCTTTGTTGTAATTCTAACGCCTTCTGAAGTGACTCTTTACTGTCATCCTTACCATCAGAAGACGATAGATGTGGTGAATTTTGATTGGTAGATGCTAAATTACGCTGAGCTCTGATTATATCTTCAATATTAAATATAATAGTATGATTATTATCTGTTTGAGCTTCTTTATCTACTTTCCTTGTGGGACTACACGAAAGATAAGCTGACGAATTCGATTTAGCAGGTAGTGTAGGATAAACAGACACAATTGGTTTCAGGGGCTTAGGATGGTATACAAATGGTTTGGATGAAGTGATTGATTCCCAACGAACTTGATCACGGACGACAACTTTATCACATGCTATCCACTCCGCAGGTTTGTTTGCCTTAGATGCAAGGGTACACTGTTTCGTACTCATTTCATTTTTTTAGAATATTGTTCTGCCTTCCTTTTTGTCACTCGAGAGGGAAGTGAAGTTGAGTTAAACTAAAAGGGTTGCATATCGAAAAGTATTGAGTTAGACATAATATGTTGAGATGCAGTTTGTAGGATACAACGTTGTAGAATACATAGTATTGACCATAGACATTATAAAACTATTTAGTATGCACAAAAATGAGTGAGGAAAGCTAAAATACAAGACCTATTTCAATTAAGTCAATTTTACTACACAATTTTCCAAGACCCATAATTCCGGTACTAAACAAACAGTTAATTGTAGTTAGTGAAAATTTAATGTGATTTGATACCTGGAGGGAGTGTTGTTTACGAAAGTGAGAGAAAGAAAAATGAATGTCCGGCGCTCTAACTGGGTTGATGGATATGGAGAATCTATCTAGGGGAGTTGGAAAACACTGATTCCAAACCAATGGTGCACATGAGCTCCAGTGACCTAAAGGAAAAAATGACGTATGAACATATTGTTAGTCACCGGCTAGCATGGGACTGCGTCTCCTAAAGTTGCTCCACTGCCTTGTGGATTAGACCTTTCGATCAAAGGCAGTTAATCGAACAAAGAGCTCTTCTCACCACCACTTTCATGTACCTCAAGGGGAGTTAGTGAACTGTAAGTTGGAGTTTATGTGAACATGACAGAAAAAGGTTGCGAAATGTTGACAAAATTATTCTGAAAGCAATCAACAATCTGTCTACCAAGATTGGTAAACTAATTGCGTACATTAAAAGCTCATCCATGGGTGTGAACGACAGGTGCACCGACCACACGGACACTTCAAGTTTCGCATTCCTATTAAAAACACATGAGGAGTTGCGTAATTTTAAAGTTGCTTTGGAGGAGCTCAAGTTTCGTGATCAGTTTGTAAGTTGTAACAGGTGTTTCAAAAATTTTTAGGTGGTCAGATTGTACGAGATATGTGATGATCCTCTTAAACCAACCAAAGCACGTCTAGGTTACTCGCTGACGCTGGAACTGGCTATTACTTATACTTTACGCGGGACTAAAAGTAAACTGAGTATCAGTAACTACAAATCCTACAGGACGGCTCAAAGTAAATTTATATTAGAGTATTAATATACTTGTAGGTGTTCTGTGTTCATGGTCCCGAAGTGTAACATGTCCAGAAAAAGAAATAGAGCACCCCATGGATGTTGCAAGCCATGCTTCCTTGCACGACGCAAGAGATAAAGTCAATAAACGAGGATGGCGATCCAAAGAAATGATGAGCTAAATGCACCTTAGATGTTTGATTAAATACCGGTTTTTGTTTTGATATTAGTTTGTGATAAACAACAGTTGTTTCTTGTTCATCATATTTTCAGCTGTCTTCGCAAGTGTTAACAGACGTAAGTTTTTTATGCCGATTATTCACAATAATGTTACACCGTTGGTACGTCATCAACCTTTTACATAACATTCAGGATTCATAAGTTGGATGACTGCCGTGACATTTGTTTGTTTACTGAAGAATAACTTTTTCTCTTTTTGTAGAACCTTGCGAATGACAGTTCAACGTCAACCCAACGTACTTCTCCGAAACAAGTAACCAGTTATTGAGAAATGGAGAAGGTTATGTGTTATGGATATTTTTTGATTTATTAAACTTTAATAAACACTTAACTGCGTGACGAATCAGTCTTTTAATTGCAGCGACAGATCGATTCTCGTTACTGACTGTAGTTAAGTTGCTTTGACACCACATTCAATGTGCAAAATCGACAGGTAAAGATGGAATACATCAATGGAAACGTTTAGGTACTTATTATTAAATCTCCAGGCTTTTCCGTGATATCTGTCGAGAATTGTTGAGAAGTATTGCGTTAAAACGAGATATTCTGGATAATTTCACCAAAAATGAGGAAACTTTCGGGGTTTTATTAATAAATACAGACGGATTTCCACAAAGTGGATTTAAATTCTGGTGAAACCCCCAAGATTTGCGGAAATATTGGAGGAAACACAAAATGCTAGGGAAATTCGCCAGATCTGGGGAAATTTCGGGGTTTTGCTGCTATTTCCCCAAAATTTTCAGTAGCGGCTTCCCAAAAACAGACCAAATTTGACCCCCAAACTTTGGAGAAGGCTATTTCACTTTGAGGACTTCCCCAAAGTTGGGAGCTTGGGAATTCTCCCAAATTTGAGGGCTTGTGGTGTCCGGTACACTAATTCTGTTTAAAGAACCCTCTTAATGGATACTCAAAATATCTACTTGGACCAACAGTATTTAGAAAAAAGATTACATGAATACCAATGCACTGGTCTTCATCAGAACATATGTTTTGATTGCACAATATAAAATTAACAGCTTTGATTTCTAGAAAGTGAATGTCAGTATTTGTACTGACAATTTAGTAGACTTGATCTCGTGACTAGTTATCATTGAGGCTACATCAATTCATCTCATACCATCAGTTAAGAATATGTTATTTACCTTTAATATTTGACCCTCCACCCAAATGACCTTCAAATGGTTCAAATAGTTGTGGACGAAATCAGTCTTCAGTTTTCAGTAATAAGGATAGTGGGTTGGTGAACCTGTGTTAGTCCTAACAGTTTGCCTTCCATCGAAGGTCCAGTTTCTTCTTGAAAATATTCCGTGATGGGGCTGATACCACTTGTTCGGGCAAAGCGTTCCAATCATTGACTACTCGATGAGAAAAACGGAACCCCACCTTGAGTTTATTAGATCGTGGTTTATGAACCTTCTTGCTATGACCTCGGAATTATTAGTGCTGGAGGGAGCAAAAAGATAAGACATATTGACACCCGAATCATAATTAAAGATACGAAATGCCAGTATAAGGTCACCTCGAGTCCTACGATACGACAAGGGGAAAAGGTTTAGGCGTTTTAAACGCTCCTCGTAAGAGAGTTTAGAAAGACCCTTCGCTAATTTCGTCCCCACACGCTGGAAACGCTCAAGTGAGGTAGTATCCTTTATCAGACATGGGCTAGCTGCTTGGATACAGTACTCTAAATGTGGTCTTACATAGGTGGAATATAAAATTCGAAACATTTCCTCGTCAAAAGATTTGAACGCTCGGCGAAGTGACCACAACGCACGAAAACCTTTGACAGCGGCTGCGTTGCAATGCGTAGTTGTTCTTAGGTCATGACTTATCATTACTCCTAAGTCTTTACGTTCTTGAACGCATGGAAGAGGTTTACCATCAATAGTATAATGGTAACTATTGCCGTGACCGATGTGCATTAGCACACTCTTCCCAGAATTGAGTTCTAAACCCCAACCTCGAGCCCATCTAACTAAATCGTCTAATCCAGCTTAAAGATCCAGATGATCAGCCTCACTTCTTATTGTTCTCTAGATTTTGACGTCATCCGCAAATAATGATGTCTACGACCTAAGCAACAGCGGTAACTCATTTATATAGAGAAGGAAGAGCAGAGGGCCTAAGATGGTGGCTTGAGGTACACCACTTTTGACCGGCTTCCAATTGGATAGCGTCCCATTGACCCTTACGCTCTGTCTGCGGTCACATAAGAAGTTTCCTATCCACTCCTGTACAGTGTCTATTATTCCGAAGCTTGTGAGTTTCTGCATAAGACCTAAGTGTGAAACATTGTCAAATGCTTTGCTAAAATCTATGAATATCACATCGACAGACACACCTTTATCTAAGGCTGCTGTCCAATCCTCTTTCATAATAAGTAAGTTAGTCAAGCATGAACGCTTATCACGAAATCCATGTTGCTCAGGAGCTAATAGATTGTGTGAATCTACATGGCTTAGCAACCTAACCCGGATTATCTTTTCAAGTAACTTAATGAAAATGCTGGTCAAACTGACAGGCCGGTAGTTAGATACGATCTTCCTTTGACCATCCTTAAATATAGGACTGACAATAGCATCTTTCCTATCCCTAGGGAGTTGAGCGAGTGAAAGGGACATGTTGAAGAGTGTCGCAAACGGTTTTGAAATAATGTCCGCAAGAGATGGCAGCAGCCGTGGATGTAACCCGTCAGGACCCGGTATCTTACAAGGTTTGAGGTTAATTATTAAGGGAAGGACAGTTTCCTCAGTCACATTTACAGATTTAATGGCTGGTATCTCGGTGTGATTGGGACAAGTATTTGTTACATTATGCGTAGAGTAGACCTCGCTAAAATAGTTTGAAAACGTCTCAGCTTTTGCCTTATCTGATTCAACTGGTAAATCTGAATTTTCGTGTGACAGTAACAGAGGACTGTTATCAATACGTTTCATTCGCCGTTTAACGTACAAAAACAATCGTTTCGAACAAGTACGGCTATCATATACCAACTGTCGTTCGTAAGTAGTACGGGGTTTAGTTATTGTTTTCTTACAAATATTCCGGAGTTTTTGGTACGCTTAAAAGATGCATGACCTGTCAATAAGAATAAGTCACAGAAGTGTTTCCTACGCTTTAACAGCTTACGGGTTTCCTTATTAATCCATGGAGGGCAATGCGATAGCTTACGTGCTGACCATGGGATAAACGGCGACGTTACGAAGTCGAGTGTAGCCTTAAACTTATTCAATTCATCTTTGATCGATCCATCTGCGTCAACCGACCAGTCGGTCGAGATAGCACAGTCTCTGATTGCCGGAATATTAGCCCGCCAGATATTGGGACGGGGTGGAGCAGATACAAATCAAATACCATGTGTCCTAAACTTAAAGTGAAGTACAAGATGATCACAGTTCACTAGTGGATGAAAGTGCTGAGTATCAAAGACATCCTCACAGTGGTGGGTGAGGGCGTGTTCCAGCAGTGATGGATCATGTTTCAAATCAATATGTGTCTGTTTAGTGATACATTAGACAAGTGCACACTGAATAACGGTTGATAAAAGTTCGCTATCGAAACCTCCACCTGGAGCTGTAAGCTCTATCCAGTTGATATGAGGTGCATTGAAGTCCCCATTCTTCCATACTCCAAAAACAGATGTGTCTTAAAATAAAGGTGTCAGCAAGACAACACGGACTACGGTATATTCCCCCTACAGTCACTAACTTATTTCTACTCCACCTGTACCACTAACATAAGCCTCCGATATGATTGATTGTATACGAAAGTGATCCCTAACATATAACATTATGCCTCCTCCTTGCGACCTAAAACTCTATGACTTCTAATACAGATATGGCCTGCAATCACGGGAGAACATTCTATATCTACGGTGAACCAAGTTTCCGTAACAAAAGTTATATCGGGACTTAATTCGTCCACCACCAGACTTAGCTCGGACGTTTTATTTCTAAGACTACGGGCGTTCGTGTAGCACACACTTAAAATGCTTCGAGAATCATTCGCTCTACCCATACAGGCCTCGGAAGCATTGGCTTCCAAGACCTGACTACCCGAAAACCCTTAATGGTAAGGATAGTTTCGCCATTTAGCTTGCGAGTTCTCAACTCTGTAAGAGCATTCTTCCACTTGATTCGATCCTCAAGCGGCCAATCTGGTCGGATACGAATATTTGAACCACGAATTTTTTGTGCGTTTTTCAATAAAATATCTCTTTCTTCAAAACTCACTAGATCCAGCTTCAAGATCCTTCTTGGTTGGGTCTCGCCCCCAACCCATTTACCGAGTTGTATCACTTTCGTGATATGTGCTCCTGAAACCTCTTCAGGTAGTACTTTTCTTACGACGGCTTCTACTAACTTCAGATCATGTGCATGTCTCTCAGCAGGGTCATTGTCTATCGACTCCTCTAGGTTCTAAATAATTAAGCTAGGGAGTGGTGTAGCTTCTTTTGGAATCGTGTTTACAGCTATCGATCGTGACCTTACATCCTGTATATTAACTACTGGTATCTTACGATTAGTTTTTATTGTAACAGAGTCATTGGAGTCGAGCGAGCGACTCACAACAATGTTTGAAGAGGCTTTACTTTGGGACTTTGGTGGAGTTGTCTAAGAGTCCACCAAAGACTTATCAAGTAAACCGTCATTATTTTTAGCTGTCTTTACCACTCTTCTACGTTTCCACGTCATCCATATTCCATCAGCCGTAGCATATACATCAGAACTACTCTGGATCACCAGTTGTTGCTGTAGCAACATGGCCACAAATATCTATGGAGGTGTCGCTCATTGATTGTTTCGGGGTAAAAAGTTTGATCTAAGGGTTGCACAGTTAGATGTCTGACTTGCGCCGTGACAGCGCTTACGACACTAACGCAATCTTCGCCATCAGCACCAATATTGCCTGTACAGCCCTCATCAACCTTCTTAATAGCCAACACCAGGAGGCTAATGGCTTCCTGGATGAGGGTTGTTTTGCTTGAGCAACAAAAACTACAAAGCCAATGAGAGTTGGGCTTCGAGCATCTTTTATATGGAGCGGGGCTTAGTCGTGTGCACATGTTGTGGAACCACATATTACACTCATCACACTGCATCCTTTCCTCCACGGGGAATCAGCAATATGGTTGTCCACATTTATGAGCCGATTTGGCCATGTTGGAAACCAAATACAATGGTGATGCAAACAGGATATGTAAAAGAATACTAAAACCTTGACTAAATTAATCAAGTAAAAGTCGATCAAATATGCTTTGATGCAATAAATACACAAAAGCAGAATCGAAATACTCAATAAATCATCACTTTAACTGGAGTAGATTCAATTAAAGTGTAAACAGTAGTTTTGATGCGTAATTTACGATCAAAACAGTTAAGTAACTCAACGAAGATGCTTTCGCTTAATGGGCTTCCGTGTCTAGTAGCAGTGGATCACCAATACATCCAGGCAAGAACCTAGGTATATTAACGATAATAGAGGAAAAAAAGAAACTGGCAAATCATAATAAGATGTTATCCTTAGTCCTTAAGAATACGTCAAGTTTTCTCTTAAAGGACTCCTGGAAAGTCGCTTGGACTAGCTCAGCCAGAAGCGAATTCCAGCACTTGACAACTCTTAAGGAGTAGATGTCGTGTCCACAGTCCGTTCTGCTATGTTGTATCTCCAATTTCTGGGTGTTACCTTTAGGTTTGTATTAGGATTAAGCTTAAGTAGGTGTTTAAGAGGATGTCTAGAAGTGTTAAGGATACTGTAAGCCATCAGAAGGTCACCTCTAAGACGTCTATACTCCAGTGGGTAAACGTTAAGTGATTGAAGGCGCTCTTCGTAAGACTTGAATTTGAGTTCCCGAACTGATTTCGTGGCTCGTCGTTGGATACGCTCCAGAGTGTCCTCATCCTTTTTGGAGTGTAGGAGGGAATACTATGTTTCCGTACTCTAAATGGAGACGAATAAAACTGTTGAAGATTGTGTGGAAGGTTTTTCCGTCAAACTGGCCAAAAATGCGCTTCAATGTTACCAGTGCAAGGTTTGCTCCAAAGGCATTTCTGTCACAGTTAGCGTAAGACTTTAACTCGTAGGGTACCAGCACTCTTGAATCATTTTCAACTGAGGATACTACTGGAAGGGAGTTTCTTAAGTTGTAAATATAGTCTGCCACATGTTTGAGATGGATTA